TTTTAATTAGAACAGAGTCGAGGAGCGTAGTGATTTCCTGTCCTTATTCTTAAACTTTCTCGAAATATTTTTGCACCATTGTATAGCTGATAGTCTCAGGAATCGAATAAATCAAAAGAATTTTCAATTTATCGTTTAAAATGAGGGAACTCTTGCCTATTGATGACAGGCCATTCAGTCTATTCTGTGGTGCACATGAAGGTGAAAACCTGATCTGTTTTCAATAAAAATAGTACCATTCGATTTCTCGTGATCAGTGGAACATTTCGATATATTTTGCTTTTAAAAGATTTTAATTTTGTCCGTCAAAAAAACTTGATTACTTAATGAGTAATAATTCTGAATCTCTGGAAAGGGCCGATCATATGGCATCCAGCTCTAGACAACGTTACAACGGTCATTCAAATACGAGGAATCCGAATATCATGTCAGCGAGAGTGACAAATTGAATGGTGTGGAGGAAAACATTTTCTATCTTAGAGGTCAGGTTTTTCATTTTCTTAGTACCGTTCACTCTTTGAAGCTTTTCTCCGTGAAAACTTGGTCAAAATGTGAAGCAAAGGTGATATTCATGATCAGCGTTACAAGACGAAGCTAGATATCCGTATTGCAGCTACAAATCTAATGTGTGTGAATTTTGAATTAGCGGCGCCTTACATTGGCCTCGAACTGAATAGTGCCGATCGATATCATCAAATCAAACCTCTCAAACACAAGAACAGAGCGAGAAAATCACGTCTGTTTTTGTTATCTTCGTTGGATATTCTTATCAGTCTTCGATTTGTTTTTGTTTCAGTGTCCGAAGACTCCTCGTCTAATCTTTCTGCTGGTATGTTGATAAATATTTCGAAAAACATGCGCCTAGAACTGAAGTATGTACAGCAAAGGAGAGAGGAAAAAAAAGTTCAAACCAAGGTTCGAATAGAAAAAGAAAAAAGCCCAGACAGGCTCCTTGGTCTTCGAGGATTTCTCGTTGGTTTATTTACAAAGAACGGACTTAACAGAGGCATCCCTCTTTCTTTGCCTGTTCTTCTTGCTGAGGAATATGAATGGGTATGGGGAAATCCGTTTGCTGATCAATTTCTTTTTGCCGAGCAAGAGCATTGCGTGCGATCGTTTCGAAGGCTTTTTCCACGTTGACACCTTCTTTGGCCGATGTTTCAAAATATGGAATTTTATTGTTTTCTAGAACAGATCAGCAGCAACAGAGATATCAGTTTTTCCGATCACTCGACGACGAGCTTACCTTCGCACCAACGCTGTGCTTCACATGTTTGAACCTAATAAACAGAAGAACAAGACGACGACGGTGAATATCGATTCAGAGCAAAACTTAGGATCATTACCATGCGATTTTCCAGATCAACCTTATTGCCAAGAACCTACAGAAACAAAAAAAACATCTCTTCTAACTTGTCACTGACGGGAGAGTTCACTGACCACGAAGGGAAAATGTTCTGGTTCACGTGGATCACCTTCAATGAGGAATTTCTCTTTCCAATCCTCTAGTGACTTGAACGAGGTCGGCCAGGTGACATCCATCACAAGAACACAACCATCAGCACCACGATAGTATGGCGCGTCCAAGCTTTTAAAACGTTCTCGACCACAGGTATCCCAGATCTTCAAAGAAATCGAACAGATCATCTCTCTCTCTCTTCGTCATCGATGCTTCTTACTTGCATTGTCACCAGACGATCATCAATTTGCAGTTCTTTGGTCAGAAAATCGACACCAATCGTGGCTTTGTATTGCTGAAACTGGATCAATAAGGTGCAATTTGAGACCGATGGTGCTGACACTTACTCGGCGATTGACGAATCGATACATCAGTGCTGTTTTACCCACTGTTGAATCACCCAAGAGGATCATTTTGAGTAGGACTTTCTTTCGCGAAGCCATGTCAAATATGAATATGAATATGAATATGAATTAATCTGTGAAAAGAAGAAGAAACAACACATGTGCACAAGAGTGTCTTCTTCATAACTCATTATACGCATTTGTCCTGAAGAACGACTCATTTTCAGCTGACTCAAGATGAGCAAATGAGAGAAAAGAAAAGAAAGAAATAAGAAAGAACGAGATTAAATATGAATTAATTCAGTTTTAATTGTGAAATCACTGCGAGCAAATCTTGCTCTTTACTAGGATCAGCCACTTTTTTCAAGCTCAATAATGTACGTTTCAACGTCATCCAGCATTCGAATGCCAATGCTATCGTTTGAGCTTATTCGACCATGGACGATGGAACAGTCGCTACCCAAGCAGACACAAACCGTCGAAAACGCGTGTTCACGCTCAAAATAGTCAGATAATGAACGCTTAAACGCGTGCGTGATCAGTTGGTCGTACGAACATCACCTTCTCTCTGCCACCTTCTCAGTGTTCATGCAGTTAAGAAATGTGGATCCAACATATTATCGCGTTTTTACTCGCCAACTATACGTGATAGCGATGTTTTTCTCCAAATTCCTGAATTTATCGTTTACACATATGAAAAAGCGCGATTTTCTGCGTTTGCGTGACTATTCTCCAAGAGAAAATGCTGACGAAACATATCAAACACACACAATTCTTCGAAAAAGCTTTAAAACACTTGCAATAGACTACACGATAAAGTGATCTTAACACTGCGATAACAAAAACGAAATGACTGTTAAAAGAAAACATACACGTTGTGTATACAATAGGTTAAAGATAAAAGAAGAGAACAAGGTAACCATGAGCACAACACACATACACGTGTTCTGTTCTTTCATTAGAAAATTTGGTGCTTGCTCCGCGCTGAACCAAATTGGATAAAAATTGGGCGCCAAATGCAAAATTTGTCGGTGAATCCGACAGCGGGTTCCTTATAATTACATCTTCACTTCTTTTTTGGTGTCGACATAATCAACGTGGTTTTTGCCTAAATTTTATTTTTCTCGTTGGTTGAAAAAAGGGCGCCAATGAGAAAAATAAAATTTAGGCAAAAACCACGTTGATTATGTCGACGCCAAAAAAGAAGTGAAGATGTAATTATAAGAAACCCGCTGTCGGATTCACCGACAAATTTTGCATTTGGCGCCCAATTTTTATCCAATTTGGTTCAGCGCGGAGCAAGCACTAAATTTTCTAATATTGGTTTAAGCTTTATTTATTTATCAAGGTTACAAAGAAGAACATGTAACATCCGGCACTGAAGCGGATAAGTCTATTATCTCAGTGTCGGAAGTTACTGTAGTTAATATAGGGGAAAAGTAACAAATGAATAGGTTAATAACATGAAGGTATCAGAGAAAGATTTTGGTAAAAATAAAAATAGACAAGTCAAGATAAAAAATGAGACTGAAGAATACAATTAGAAATAAAATTAGAAAAAACGTGACTAGCGCAAGATTTTGTTAAAGGATTAGTGTTTAGAAGCTGAATGTGTATTAATGCCGCAAGAAGCGGTTCGTTTCGTCAATATAGGC